AGCCAGGTCTCCTTCTGCACCAGTGGCTGCTCTTGGTGGGTCACGAGGCATCTCCATCAGGGGAGGGAAGACTGAGTGTCCCAGAGGCTCACTCCCCAGTGACCAAAGACAATTGGCATGGCAGGTAGCTGAGCAACTGTGTGATGATGTATGCAGCACTTCCGCTCTCTGGCCTTGGGCTCCTCACCTCTAAAACCTGGAGCTACTGACAAGGAGATTAGGGACTGGGGTCCCTCTCATCTGCTAATAGTGAAGCTCTAACCAACCAGCCTTTCAGGAAAGCCTAAAATGAGCCTTCCTACAGAGAGTATTGGGGATCGTACTTAATGGTGAAAGACTGGGTGCTTTCCCCCTGAGACCAGAAACAAGACAATGACGTACACGCCTGCCCTTCCAGTCAACATTTTACTGGAAGTTCCAGCCAGTATACTTAAACAAGGCGGGGAAAGGCATCCAGGTTGCAAGGGAAGATGTAAAACTATCTCTATTTTCAGGTGACATGACCTTGTAAATAGAAAATCCTAAAGAATCCACACACACAAATTTACAACTAAGAAATGAGTTCAGCAAGGTTGCAGGATTCAAGATGAATATACCAAAAAAGTCAACTGTATCTCTGTGCACTTGCAATGAACACTTCAAAATGTAATTAAGAAATTAATTCTATTTATACTAGCATAAAAGAATAAAATGCTTACAAATAATTTAACAAAACAAGTATAAAACTTATACTCTAAAAATTACAAAATACTGTTGAAAGAAATTAACGTAGACCTAAATATATGGAAAAACATCCCATGTTCATGGATCTGAAGACCCAATATTGTTAAGATGGCAAGACTCCCAAAATTGATCTTCAGATTCAATAGCATCTCCAACAAAATTCCAACTTGCTTCTTTGCAGAAATTATCAAGCTGATCTTAAATTTCTTAGAGAAATTCAAGTGACCCCAAATGGCCAAAACAATATTGAAAAAAGAAGAACATTGCTGGAGAAGCCATAGGAAGTTTCTACAAAGTTACAGTAGTTAAAACAGTGTGGTATTGACATAAGAATAGATATATAGATTAACAGAACGGAATGAGAGTCCAAAAATAAACCCTCACATTTACAGACAATTAATCTTCAACAAGAGTGCTCAGACAGGGGCGCCTGGGTGGCTCAGTCGGTTAAGCGTCTGACTCTTGATTTTGGCTCAGGTCATGATCTAGCAGTCATGGGATCATGGGACTGAGCCCCACATCAGGCTCCATGCTGAGTGTGGAGCCCTCTTGAGATTCTTTCTGTCCCTCTCTTTCTCTGTCCCCCACCCCCCCCAAGATAAACACGTAAACTTAAAAAAAAAAAAAAAGAGTGCCCAGAAAGTTCAGTGGGGAAAGGACAGTCTTTTCAACAAATGGTGCCTGGGGCAACTAGACATCCACATTGCAAAAAAAGGAGGCTGGGCACCTTCCTCACACCCTACACAGAAATTAACTCAAAATGGATCTTACACCCAAATATAAGAGTTAAAACTATAAGACTCTTAGAAGAAAGCACAGGCCTGAATCTTCATTACCTAGGATTAGTCGATAATATGACGCAAAAGCATAGCAACAACAACAAAAAGAAAACAGGTAAATTGGACATCATCAAAATAACAAACTTCTGTGCTGCAAAGGACATCGTCAAGAAAATGAAAAGACAGGGCGCCTGGCTGGCTCAGTTCGTAGAACGTGCAAGTATTGATCTCGGGGTTGTGAGCTCGAGCCCACGTTGGGTGTAGAGATTACTTAAAATAACATATTAAAAAAGAAAAAAGGAAAAAAAAGTGAAAAGACATAGAATGGGAGAAAATATCTGCAAACCATATATCTGGATAAGGAATTGTAACCAGAATACATAAAGGACTCTTACAACTCAGTACTAAAAGACAAATAACCCAATTTAAAAATGGGCAAATGATCTGCATAAACATTGATCCAAAGAAGATATACAAATGGTCCATAAGCTCATGAAAAGATGCTGAAAATCACTAGCTATTTGGGAAATGCAAATCAAAACCATGAGATGCTACTTCACACACAGTAGGTTTGCTGTAATCAAAAAAAAACCAGTGAAAAGTGTTGGCAAGGATGTGGAGAAATCAGAACCCTCACACCCTACTGGTGGGAATGCAAACAGTGCAGCCATCTTGAAAAACAGTCTGGGAGTTCCTCAAAAGCTTAAATAGCATGACCACGTGACCCAGCAGTTCTATACCTGGGAGGTACAGATCTGAGAGAAGTGAAAACATATGTTCATCCCAAATCTTACATGAATGTTCACAGATGTATTATTCATGATAGCTAAGAAAGTAGAAACAACCCAAATGCCCATCAACTGATGAATAGATAAAATGTGGTCTAGCTACACACAGAAATATTATTCAGCAAGAAAAAGGAAAGGAGTACTGATACGTGCTGTGACATGGGTAAACCCTGAAATATATGCTAAGTGAAAGAAGTCAGTCACAAAAGATCGCACATTGTATGGTTTCATTTACATGAAGTGTCCATAATGGGTGAACCTTGCAGACTCTTTTACAGCAGTGATTGCCTAGAGGTAGGGGGAAGGGACTGGGGAGAAATGGGTGTGGAGTTCTTTCTGGGATGATGAAAATGTTCTGAAATTGATGGTGGTGATGATTGCACAACTCTGAACATACCATTGAAAAACTATTGAGTTGTGTGCTTCAAATGGGCGAATGGGATGGCAAGTGAATCATACTGTTAAAAAAAACCCAAACAAACCTATTCTTTGGACCCATGACTCTACTTCCAGAAATGTCTTCTAAGAATTACTCAAGTGCATAAAAAGATAGGTATAAAGATTTCCATCACAGTATTGTTTGTAACAGCAAGAGTGCAAACCTAAGTGTCCATCAGTGGGGGGGACCGGTCCATCCACTGGGATGGAACAATGGAATCATTGAAAAAAATAAAAATAAAAATGAGAGTCACATTTACTAACATGGACAAGGTCTAAGATATACTGTCATGTTTTGTAAAAAAAAAAAAAAAAAAAAAAAAAGTTAAAAAAATACATCTATAGATTAAAAGGGACTTAAAAGAGATTTTTTTTTTTAATTTTTTTTTTCAACGTTTATTTATTTTTGGGACAGAGAGAGACAGAGCATGAACGGGGGAGGGGCAGAGAGAGAGGGAGACACAGAATCGGAAACAGGCTCCAGGCTCTGAGCCATCAGCCCAGAGCCCGACACGGGGCTCGAACTCACGGACCGCGAGATCGTGACCTGGCTGAAGTCGGACGCTTAACCGACTGCGCCACCCAGGCGCCCCTAAAAGAGATTTTTTTTAAAGACAAAATTATAGTATCTAGGGATTCACACTGAGTGATAACTAGCAAGAAAGTGATGACCTTAAAAGTCAGGATAACAGTGGGGCGCCTGGCTGGCTCAGTCGGTGGACCATGATTCTTGATCTCTGGGTCATGAGTTCAAGGCCCATGTTGGGCATAAAGCTTACTTTAAAAAAAGAAAGAAAAAAAAAAGGCACCTGTCTGGCTCAGTCAGTAGAGCATGTGACTCCTGATCTCAGGGTCATGAGTTCAAGCCCCATGCTGGGAGGAGAGATTATTTAAAAAAAAAAAAAAAAAA